ATGTTAATGTCAAAAAAACGGTGATATTTTTTAATAGGTCGCTTAATTACGTCTTTAAGATTACAATAACGCTTTCAGAATCATGTTTGGTTGAAAATTAACGCCTGTACAGAGGCTTAAAGTGCATAACTTTTGGAGCCTCCGTTATAAACAAATTCAATTGTGCGAAAATTATTATACCTACAGCGCCCACTTTTGGCACACTTTTAAAGTATGACAAAACCCTCAACTTGTCATAGGTTTTATAAAATTTTAACAATAAATGCGATAGTCATAAACAAATTAAAAAATGGGCACTTTTCTTGTTTTTTTGCAATAACTTTTTTGTTTATTAACAGATTTTAATTTAACAAGTCTCAGAGTCACTTTTCGCTAAAATTTATGGTTTTCCCTGCAAAGTAAAAAAACTGTTTTCCTCACTTTTTTGTTTAAATAGAAAAGCTAGCTAATAAAATTTTTTGATTCACGAGATGAAAGATATCTTGTATTATGTATCCTTTAGACAATTTTACAATAATCTCACGGATAGGACTTTTTTCGAGCAAAAATTTTATTTGCTTGGCCTAGCTGGTAATAGAGTCCGAGACTGGTGAATTATACTTAACTGCTGCGTGGTATATAACATTTTATCCACACTAGTTTATGGTTCATGAAATAAAGATTAGGATTTTTTGACATTTCCTAATCAATTCATTTTGACATTATTCGAAATCGCTTTGGTTGTTTGAAAGTGCAGCAAATGCTGCCTGCGCATCTTTATTTCCTGAGAAGTCGAAAGTGCGCTACGGGCGAGCATATAGAAATTTCAAAAAATGGTGCCAGAACAAAAGTACTGGTGTTTCTGAAATGACACTGTTAGCATATTCATGGAGAAGTCAAGAACTTTAAAATCATCGGCGAGTTTGTAGAATGAATACGCAGTGATTAAATCAAGTATTTTCATAGAGGAGAACGTGGATGTATCAAAATAGCCCAAATTAAGAGCATTTGTGAAAGTAAGAATGGCGGCTATACACCTAAAATGTCAAACGTTTTTACAAGAGAACAAGTTATCGATTTTCTCGTTTAGGCACTCGATAACACATATTTGCTAATGAAGGTAGTGACAGTCATAGGCATTGCAGGAGCATGCCGCTTTGATGAGTTATGCAGACTTACTTTGGACAACGTCAGTTTAAAAAATTTCGACGACATTATTGTAGTTACAATTCCAAATTCTATAAATGGTATGTCACGTACGTTTTACCATTACTTCTCGTCTGGGTTCTGTTTCTCACCTAGAAATTCTCAAGAAATATATCAAGATTAGATTGGAAATTCAAACTGAAATTTCACGGTTTTTATGCGCTGTCAAGCAGGTAGATGTTACAACCAACCAGAATACCCTTTCTATGATTCCTAATAAGATTGCACAGCTTTTGAAACTAGGACATCCTGAAACATATACAAGCCATTCATTCCGAAGAACATCGGCAACGTTACTGGCTAATGCAGGAGTTGATATATTAGCAATCAAGAGACATGATAGGTAGAAATCAGTCACAAGGTTATGTGGTTAAGTAGGTAACAAAAATGATATAGCCAACCGTTTTTTTTACAACAACACTTCAACTCCAGGTTCTAGTAGTACGTCGCATCATGCTGTTTTAATGGATCTGTCAGATAATATTGAGCCTCCAGTCACTGAAATGGAGCGGTCAAATCATTTTGAGAAAAATGTGACAATTAGTAAACGCGAGAGGAATAATTTTCCAGATTTTATAAATGCTACTAAATGTAATAACTGTACAATAGCTATAAATATTCATTCACAATAATTAATAAAATGTAATGTTCATAAAATATGTATTTATAACTCGAAACCGCTTTTTTTCTGAGTTACCTCACTTACCTCCCGTTGTCCATAACAACTTCCTATAATATACCGGGTGAGTCAGTTTTTTGTAGACAAACTTTAACGGGAGATAGAACACATGTTTTTAAAAANGACAAGTACGTAAGTAGTAAGTAGTAAGTAGTAAGTAGTAAGTAGTAAGTAGTAAGTAGTAGTAGTAGTAGTAAGTACGTAAGTAAGTAGTTAACGTATCTTAAATAGTCATTGGTATTTAGAAACATTTATTTGTAAGTGTAGGTGAACAGCACAACTTTCTCTGTTGTGCTGATCTTGGTAATAGTTTCTGAGAATATCTTTCTAATTTTTATTAAAAAACCATATTCATTAGCAAAGCAATAATTTTTTCAATTCTTCTTTGGACAAAGATCAATTCGATATACAGGCTGTCTACTGTAAGAGGGCCCCTTTTATGCATCTCGCTTAATATACGTCGCACGTCAAAAATCTTTATATGTTTTTTGTTGCATTTTTTGAGGCCTTTATGCTCGTAAAAACAAATTTGAGATCCATGGCCAACTTTGTGAGGATTTATAAAAAAACCGGAAAAGTGCCAAAAGTTTAGGGTCGTCTAACTTTTTTATTTTAAGAGATAGAGAAAACTTATTTTAATAAAATTTCATGACAAAATTGATATTTTTCACCTGGTACACGGGCAAAAAAAATTGTCATCGAAGTAGACTATGGCCAGAAAATAATACTACATGTTGCCTTTATCTTTTATATTTATTACATTTTTTATAATTTTGATATAAAAAAATATAAAAATTTTCCTGTTACTTATGTTAATGTAGAAATTGTTTTAAACACGCCAAATATAAAAAAATAATAAATATATCTACTTACAGAATTAGAGCTTTCCTCTTCCTCAAATGACATACACTTTTTTATTTTATAACGCCTTCTAAATGATAGTTTTTCAAATAACAATGAACTCTTAACAGTTTTTAAGCCAACAGTTACGTATGATCTATAACAATAAACAGTTTGCCAAATGATGACATTACTGGGGTCACACATTTGTTTTTACAGCTTGCGAGATTTAGCATAAACTACTTTCTCTGTGAAAGAACAATGTTGAATGCTTCAAAATCTGTTTGCACCAGGTGAAAGATATCAATTTTGCCATGAAATTTCATTAAAATAAGATTTTGCTATCTCTTAAAATAAAAAAGTTAGGCGACACTAAAATTTCGGTACTTTTCAGGTTTTTTTATGATTACTGACAAAGTTGGCCATGGATCTCAAATTTGTTTTTACGAGCATAAAGGCCTCAAAAAATGTAACAAAAAATATATCAAGATTTTTGACGTGCGTCGTATATTAAGCGAGATACATAGAAGGGGCCCTCTTATAGTAGACAGCCTGTATATTAAAATTTCAAGTTAAAATTGTAATTTTATTGACCGGATTTTTATTAATATTTTTAATTTTGCAATAAATTCAAATGCTTTTTATTATTTTTTCAATTTTTTAACAATAAATAATAATTTGAAAATAATTTGTGAATTTTTACTTTATTTTTACATTTACCTAAAACGTAATTAAATAACTAACAAAATATTAAAAAAAAAGTTTACTTTCGCTTAATTCAAGTCTTAATGTTTATAAACAAATGCGCTCCGATTTAAAAAAATTCTTTTCTTTCGTTGGTCGTAGAGGGTACTTTTTTTTAAATTGTATTTTTTGCTAGCTATCCATTGAATCTATTTTCGATGAGATAGCATAAATAGCAACAATTTTATTCAAATTGTTTATAAGCGAAAAACGCACGGTTTTTTAATGCACAATTTGAGAATGTTAATGTAAAAAAAACGGTGATATTTTTTAAAAGGTCGCTTAATTACGTCCTTAATGCTTTCGGAATCATGTTTGGTTGAAAATTAACGCCTGTACAGTGGCTTAAAGTTCATAACTTTTGGAGCCTCCGTTATAAACAAATTGAATTGTGCGGAAACTATTGCACCTACAGCGCCCACTTTTAGCACACTTTAAAGTATGACAAAACTCTCAACTTGTCATAAGTTTTATAAAATTTTAACAATAAATGCGATAGTCATAAACAAATTAAAAAATGGGCACTTTTCTTGTTTTTTTGCAATAACTTTTTTGTTTATTAACCGATTTTAATTTAACAAGTCTCATTTTGTAGATAATTTTACTCCCTACAAGCTGTCTGTGAGTCACTTTTCGCTAAAATTGATGGTTTTCCCTGCAAAGTGAAAAAACTGTTTTCCTCACTTATTTGTTTAAATA